TTCGAATTGATTCGATATTGGCGCCGCTTGTATTTGTATAATATATTAGTCGAAGTGTTCAATTCAAAAGCTTCTTAATCTAAAAATCTTAACTCAATTGTTGCATTGAACGGCGATAATATCCGTAACAAGCACTTTACAAGACCAGATTATCTTTTAACAGTTTAATTATTGGTTTTTTTGTGTGTGAAACTCAATCCATCTCTGTTTTTACCACCGATTTTTTATCTTTCTCTCTTTCTCGTTCGTTTGCATCTATTAGAAGGCTTCTGGTTCTGTTTCTTGCTTTTGTTTTGATAAATATTAATCGAATACACATTGAATGTACATAGTCAGCTAATTTTAAGAAAATTCATCGCTATTGTATCGTCAGTGAATCGAAAAAAAGAAGAAGAAAGAAAGCATATCAAAACAATGACCGAGACAATGAGAATAAATTGGAGAGAACGTGATGTATTTTTTCTATTCAAATATTTTGACTGGTGTTGACCCATTGTTGGTGAACTCATTTATCGATAAATATTCGTTTCTATTGATTTGATTGAATTTGACTAATATTTCGTTAAGTAGCTATGGCTAAAAGTCTTGTAAAAAGTCGAGTAGTCACTTGACTTTTGTTTGTTAATGGGAATTTATTGTTGGTATTGTTTACCGAACTCAAATAAGGTCTTCTCAACATGAATTAAGTGGCGAATCACAGATTATAACCAAAAAACATCAATTTAGTCGCTTTTAACATCTTTGAAGTGAAGCAAAAGCAGTTCAAAATGAAAAGTGGCGTTGGTTTTTTCACTTTTGTGTTGATCATCGTACATTGAAATTAAATCATTCATCGCTGCAGGTAAGATGGTTAACTGCTGATGACACGTTTTTATTGTTTAAATAACAACGAGTAAAAACGGATTCACATCATGATTTACATTAATTGTGTACACTCGTTTAAATATTGCGTAATATTTAAAATCTGCCTTTTTTATCAACAAAAAGTGTTGAACTTTTTAAATTTCTTTCCATTTCATCAAAGTTGGCATTATCTCAAATTCCAAAATTGATGTATATACCCCAAAGTTTACCGCACACAGAGAAAAAGAGGTCCAAATTAATTTTCATTGCTTTTTAATTTGAGCAATAAATTGAATTGAAAATCCGAAATATGGCCGATCTGATAAGTAAGAAATGAGACAAACTGCCATTTAATTTGTTGACACTTGAAAGCACAACCAAAAAACTATTTATTTGTGGAAGCTATACATTATGATTCAAAGTGACATTAATCTTTATTTAATTGCTCATCCTCACTCATAACATACAATTTTACATTTCCTTTCCTTTCAATTGCAATACAAACGGTGTCATTTTCAAAGCAGAGCCCATCAACTAATGACTTTCGAGAGCACAATGCATGAACAAACTGTGAGTATCATCAATGTCAGTTTGCGATCATAATTGCAGATAAAAAGATTTAATACACTTGGTTGACGTTTTTTTTGTGGGATGAAATTCAAACATTGAATTTGGTACTTTATACCTAATTCAATTGTCAACGATGTGAGATTTAATGATTTTTTCAGATTCCCATTTTATGGATCGACGCTGGCTTGTTGACATTGAATTTTTTTTTCACAGTTAGAAAGAATGACAATTGAAAATAACAAAATAGGAGTCATGAATCTTTTTTAAATACTTCCTAATGTCAACATGATCTATCAAAATTAGCCAAAACAATTTAAATCTATTAATACTGATATTTTATACAAATAATTGCAGAGAAAATGTGTTTCAGATCATACAGCTGAACCATGAAAATGAACATAATACAAAGAGGTATTAAGGTCATTAAACAAAAGAACGACGTTCTTGATTGAAATTACCATTACCATTTTTTTCGAAAGTATATGTTGGTTTAAAGTGAATTCAAATGAGCTAAATTAAACGATCGAGTTAATGTAAGAAATATATATGTGTGTGTGCGCGCAAAAGTGCCAGATATTAAACTTTGTGGGTAGTTGACTTAAAAAAGTGATTTTGTTTGATTACCTGTTCCAACCCGTAAACACTATATCACAGAGTGACATAGTGCAACTTCGGTTACACTCAAATCATGATAATATGAGGCCGAAAGTTTGCACTTCATAGCTATAGTACCGAAGTATCTAAGTAGATATCACCAATTCACCATAGTATAGCTACAAGCGTACTACGAGTGAGTGTGCAGCCTCCACGACAGCCAGAGGCCTGATATATATACGACTTGAAAACATAATATACTTAAATGTTGAAAGTCGAAGTTTAGTGAATTATAAAAATTCCCAAAATGAAAAACGCATCACACAAGAACGAAAGTAAGAGCGAATGAAACAACTCCAAGCGGCGAAACAAACATGCAAATATACGGCACGCGCTAAGTATGTGTTAGTGCATTCATTGATTTTTCATTGGATGTGAAATCGAATCATGTGTTTCATATAGAGTCCTTTCAATCGCTCTTCTTCGGGAACATTCCCTGTCGTTTCATGTATTTTTCATTGTGCATTGTGTATGATTTTTTTAATTTCAAAAATTAAGTTAAAGAATATAAAAAAACATGTGTCTCAATTGGATAAAAAAAAGAACAAAAAAAAAAAATAAAAATTCGCACGGAATCGAATCGTTGACATCACTAGAGATTAAACGGATCGGCTTCTATGCGAAAATCGACACACGAGCTAAAACATATTTCACACAGTATCCAATTAAGAATTCCCATATATATGTATTGATACTGTTCAATACACTTGCTAAATCAAATATACACGCGTATACATAATCAAATTTTTTTGATTGCCAAAATATATATCACGGTAGTAGCAAATGTTTCTTTAAAATGAAGTACTCCAAGATGCGTCCCTAAAGAAAATCGTACAAAAAATTAATGGATTAAATTTTATTTAAAGCTTGCCATGATTAATGCGATTTGTGTTGGTAAGAAAATTAAAAATCAATTTCATGCGAAAACTCATAATTGAATATTTCCACTCTTGCCGCATGTTTTAAAGGCGTCATTCAATTGAAATCTCTAATTTCAATGAAATGAATTTTTTTTCCTATTAACGCACAAATTGCTATGGTATCGTGTTAGTAATTTTGTTGTGGTATATGAATACGAACAATGCGCTTAAATTTTTATGGTTTAGCTGTAACAATCGTCGTAAAAAGATCTCGTATGATTTCCAAATAAAAATTCATCAAATAATCAAATAAAATCAAATTGGAAATTAATATGCGTGGTCATGTTATTGTGCACGAATATGCCACGGACATGGGCACAATGTGAGCGAGCCTTTCGTATTTATTATGGTTGAACCATACGTGAAAATTGACGGAAGTTTGAGGCGTATAAATATGAGTGTTATGTTCTACAAAAAAATGCAGTTGGTAAATCAAATTGGACGCGGGTGAATAAAAGTACATTAATTAGTGCATATTTGATCGACATTGATGGCTTCCAACACCACAAATATAATTAAATAAACGCATGCAATTTTTCATCATTTTAAATGATGATCTAAAACGCGACTGCAGTAATAAAAAAGCGACTATAAACTGTTTACATAATACGTACGGCAAACTGATTGTAAACCGTCATGATTTGCCTGTGAAAAAATGAAGTGCATGGAATGTTTGCGATTCTCATGAATCGTGATTGCTCGATGTTGAACCGGTCAAAAGAAAATGGAAAATCAATTCAGCCACATTCGTAATAATCTTTATCAAATTAAAAACGAAATTTACAATTTCAAAGTTTCAGCTAAAGAACAAGAAACCAAATACATAACTCTAGTATTTGCATAATTTTGCGGCAAATAATAATAAAAAAACTTCAACTTTAACGAGCATAAATATCGTTTTATTTGCCTCTATTTATAATAGAGCCGTACATAAGCGTGACCACGCCTCATGAAAATGAGAAGAAAAGAAGCAAAAAAAAAACACACAAAGAAATGCTCGATCGCGAAACGATATGAATTTCCCTAATAAACAGAATGCATGTATTTTATGCATGCAATATTTCGACGTTAATTGACCGATTTGCAAGCATAATTGCCATCAACAACAACAACAACAACAACGTTGAGGAAAAAATGATTGCGATATTATAACTGAAACGAGCCAAGATAAATGCACATATAACTTGTTATATTGTGTCTGCTGTGTATATTTCTTCTAATAAATCGTTGAAAAATGTTTATAAAAATGTGAGGTAAAGAGGGAGGAGCTCAAACGCTTTACATAGAGAATACGAGAGAGAGAAAATAAAATGCGAGAACCGCGAACATGTATGTGAACAACACAACACGCGCCTAATCGAATATGACAAGCGTTATTTACTCGAATTACATAAAACAAATTAAACGGCAAATCGAAACGCCGGCTTATCATACAACCAAAACCACCACACATAGTGAGAGAGACAACCACACAATTACCGATTGGAATGCCTTTTCTGTGCATTGCACTCACATTGCCACATTCCAAAGTTTACACTCATCACAATGTCAGAAGTGTGTGTGCGTCTTTGTGTACTATGATCATCGCACCGTCTATACTGTTTTACCTGTGTGCGTATGTTTATATATATGAGTGATCATCTATATTCATAATTTCGTGTAAATTATATGACATACATTGCAACTGGAATGTAAAGTTTATGGCAGCATTCGTGTGTATAAATAATAATTGGCCTGAATATAGTTGTGTGCGATTGTTGTCATGACGCGCATTTTGTGTTAGTTCAATCAATCCATCTCATTCATTCTCATACTACAAATTCCTCAACTTTATATTTCCCTTTCTTCGTGTTTTATTTTTGTGTGTATGTTTCATTGTATTTCGATTATTTATCAGTTTCTTTTTCATGTTGTTTCATTTTGTTCGGGCTTGTGTGAGTCACAACGCGCACGATAATTGTTTACCTGCTGTTAACTTTGTACAACAATGATTCAGTTGTAGTTCAGCATTCGTTTTGCGTGGTTTTAAATTTCATTTTTTCCTCCGTTGAATGAGCGAGTGGTGTTTTTGTTCACCCGACTTTTTATTAGTCTTTTTATAAACCAAACAAGTGTTCACTGTTGCTCAATTTTAACGGCGCTTATCGCAATTGAATTTCTTGTTATTTGTTGTTTATTTTATTTTTTTGTTTTCTATATAACTCGATCCGTTGATTTTATTGGCGATTTTTTGTGTTCTAATGCATTATTGGCAATATTATTCGGACTGGTAAACTCGTGATTAAATTGATTCAAGTTGTAAAAATATTACTCCTTTTTTGTTTGCGTTTTAATGATTAAAAAACACTTACAAAACGTGCCTTTACACTGACGCAAGTAATAAAACACTTTATCGAACATTGATAAGAAACACATAAAAAAAAACAGTAACATAGACGAAAAAAAAGTACGATAAAAAAAACTGAAACCTTTGAGCACGGACTACGGCAAATAACTATCCAATTTGCAAAAAAATTAATTAAACTTTTGAGTGCTTCTTCAAAAACGTGTATTTCAAGTGATTTTGTTGTGATCGTGTGTGTGTGTGTGAATCTCAACGGAATATCGAAATTTCAACAAATTTCTAAAGAATATCCAGAATCTCGCATAAAAAACATTTAACTTTTATTTCCGTAAGTCGCCAACTCCACCGATAGAATCAATTTAAAATTTACATTTTATTTCGGATTCAACTGTAAAAATTAAGATTTTATAGGGCCGATTTTTGTTTAGCTAATACGCCGACGGCAAAATTTAACACAGATATTTTCTTTCCGCAAGCTGTAAAGAATTCTCTGGAATATACACACGCAAAAGACCTCACAAGCATTGGAAATGCATTCAAAAATGATTTATATCTAATGAGGCAAGTCAATGATGATAGAATCCTGTTTTCATTAGTCGTTCGTTTTAGCTCGCAACCAACCCATTAGCAAAGTGTGACAGGCAATAAAAATTGAAATTCCATTTGAAAAAACCTCAAAATTCCAACTGCTTATGCCAGAGAAAACACCTCGTTTTAGATTTCATGTTAAATAAAATCTTTCTCTGTGTTTTATGACGTTTTATGATCAGCATGAATTATCACACTTAGATCTTTCATAAATGTGTTGTGGTTTTTTTCGGAAGCGAAATTTATCCGAGGAACTAGTTGGGGATAATCCATTTCAAAAATATTACGCAAATTTCAATGATACTATCGATGTTTTATTATTTATAACGATGCTCTCGACAGTTTTATAAACAACGTCCATATTTCAATGAATATATTGTGACATTTTGATTTGATCATAAAACCAACCAATATCTCTCGATTGAAAAAAGGTCACTATCTGAGAAAATTTGAAATTAAAATTAATAGAAATTAAAAACGATGCAACAAATATGAGTTCTGCAAAGTTTTTCACCGAAATTGTCTCTTCCTTTTCAGTCGCTTTCGAAATTGGGTATTAAATATCTATAATGCAAGATAACAATATGATACACATTTTAAAAATCCATTTCAAACACATTTTAAACGCATTTTGCGAAAAAATATACATTTATCTAAGCGATATGACTGAATATTTAAAATATGTTAAAGCACAAACTGGCAATTTCCATTTTTTCAACTCATTTATTTGAACAAAAATTATTTTTGCGAAAACTCCCATAATTATAAATTCTCCTAAGATGCGATTAGCATATAAATCATCGAAATTCATCAAAATGCCATCTGGTGTTTCGACAACAGGTTTTCTAAAAAAAAATCGATAGAAGAAATATGTTCGTTTTGATGAATGATTGAAGGTAATTTATTGAGAATTTTTAAGAGCGTAACGGAAACCACTTTAAAGACCCCCAAAAATTTGTCTCAAATTGACGGCATCATTCTAAACGACGATAAAAAAAGGAATTTTTAATATCCCTTATATCAATATCAATGCAATGTTATTCAGAGTATAGGAAAAATGGTCGAACATAAAAAGATCCTTGAAAACGTAAAAGCGTTGCTTCAATTTGCATGATGATGATTGTATTCGCTTCTGGGCATAAATCGAAATTTCCGATGAATTATTTCTCAATTCTCATAAATTGAATTTGACGATAAGTGTTTTGCATCGTCTTGCATCCCACATTTGGTGAGCATGGCGGAAAAAAAACGCCAGCCTCCCAAATGACATGCTTTATGATTATTATCCTTGTGTGATAATAAATTTTGCCAATTTACCGAAGTCAATTCGGATGGGCGATTCATTTGCACTCTACCTGTGTGCACCATTTATTACTACACATATATGTACTACACAATAGATTGTATGGTCGATGTTGAAATAAATTTCCGTGTCAAAGTAATACAATGGTCAACCAGGGGATTTTTCCCGTTTTGCAAAACAGCGAAAAGGCCGAATCATGGATTGTACAAATAAATAAAAAGTTCATTTGTTGATATTTCTTGGATGGCGCAGTCGAATAACGATTGCAGTTCATGCAACAAAATAAACAAATAAATACAAATAAACAATTTTTTTTGTGCTCCGTTTAATTTCTGTATTTTTGCAATTGCCGCGTATCCAACTCCAATAAACTGCTGCTGTTGTTGGTTTTTCTTTTCTTTGCCCATTTTGTTTAATCACTGAAACTCGCAAAACCAATTTCTTTGGCCAATTCTTTCTCTCTTCTTTCTTATTTCGTTTTGGTGTGTGGATATATTATACATCAATTTTCCTTTTTATGATTTAAATTTTATGATCTTCGAGTGATCGAAGTGGTAAGTGTTTGCCTTACACACATATGAATTGGCAATAGGAAAAACGACAGAAAAAAACTGTAACGTTCCATCATTGCAGCGAACAAAGAGAAAAAGGTTAAAAAGAATGAGTTTTTTTTTATTTACCTGAACACAGTTAATAAAGCACGAAACAGTGGAAAAAGTGTAGTGAATCATTTGTAAGACGAGCCAAAAATCGTAAATTGTTCGAGACAGTCAATACCAGAAGTCAACAGGAATCACAATCAATACACATATACTTTTTTTTTGTGCATAATATGCATCGCATGCACTCTGAGTGTTTGTTAGCTCGAATTCGTGGTCGTATGTCAAATTTATTGAAGCGATCAATAAATTACATCGCACCGGTGCCATCGCCTCGGCACACAAAAAGCGGGCAAACATTATGCACGGATGCGCATCGATCGATGGACAACCATGAACAACCAAAAAAATATACACATTTTTTCATTTGTTCAATTCCGAATTTTGTCGGTAAATTCAATTTACTAATTCAACCGTTTTGTGTTTTTTTTTTTGCTTTTCTGCAAATTGAACGCTTTGTTTTATGATATTGCATAGAGAATTTATGAAAGTGACATGTATTTTTTCGCAAAGATTGATTAGCATTCTCTGATGGGGGGAATTTATAATTTAATCATAAAAAATCGATCAATTCTCATAACTAAACTGGTTTATTTCAACGAACAAATAAGCCCAACGATTCTCTGACATATATTTATATTTTCTCATTATAATAAATTGATTCGAAAATCTTTTCGCCGCAAGGATACACTTGTAACAATTTATAACATACACACTTTCACCACTTTTTTTTCGGTGTGTGATGCAATTCAGCAATGTTTTTTTTATTTATGAGAACTTTGATTCATAGCGTTTATTATTTTAACGGTTAAGAGACGATAAAGCGTCGCCCGAAATCAAGATAATCACGTAAATTGGATAAACACACTTTATTAAGCTTATTGATTCAAAATAAAGGCAGCTCAAATAAAAAAATGCTTTTGGCAAAAATCTCGTAATTTTTATGGAAACTTCTTTTATGCATTCGCAAATTTCACTTCATTTTATCACACATAAAAACAGAGAGAGAGATAGGAAAAAAATTGTCGATGACAAGATCTTGATAAGTTCAGGTCAAGCAAATTATGAAATTGATTACCATGTGTACAAAAGTTGTTTTGTCGATAGCACAAGTGGTGTTGGTTTCCAAATTAACCAATCAACAATGCACATTTTTTATGATCGAGTAGATCGGAAGAATATATATTCACAATCTTCTTTTTCAATTCGTTTTTTTTTTATATTTTCGCTCTTTAAATTCCATTGAATCGCTGTGAGCGGCCTTCGAATTGAAAATCTACCTGTCCAAATCACATTTTGCTTTTGATCATCTCAAAAGTTGATTTACTATACTACATTTTTATTCTTAATTTTATGAGAGTAGATCATTTTTCAAGTTGTTTTTTTTTGTGTCCTTCTTCCGAGTATGGGTCACTTGCAGACTGTGTGTTGATTGATGAGACGAAAATGAATTAATGGATTCAGTCCGAAGCGAGAAATAACAATTGAATTACTTCTTGGCTTCGGACACATTTTTTTTACGAATGGCTAATCTATTATTATTACATTACTCATTTGTGATCGCACAACCACAATAAATTAATTAACGCCGTACGATACGAATAGTAAGAAGTTCAGTCTCCTCTCTTGATGAAACTTGAAAAATGTGTGTTTGTGTGTGTGTGCACGCGGTGCAAATTATATGGATGGGACCATAAAAAACGGCGTTTTTATAACTTCAATTCACATTTTTTTATAAAAAAAAAAGTCATTTTGTATGTTACTTCGTTCGTTTGACCGTTGAATTCATAAAAGCAAAAAAATGCATTAACAAAACAAAACACGACCAGACACAAAAGAACGAACACAAAAAAAATTATTCAAGACACATTGCAACAACATACATATGGACGACAAAAATCGTATTTATCGAAAAGCTTTTAGTCATTTTCAAAAACGACGTTTCGGCTACGAACACTTTTTTTTATAGATTTTTCGTCGTCGTTGTTGTATCGACAGCACACAATGTCGTCGCATTCAAGAAACACTAGCCTCATTTTTCTCTCTCTTTTTTGATTGTTCCTTCGTTAATGGAGCTTATCACAAATTAAATTACCAAAAACGAAAACAATAAATAAATTAAAAAAAAAATAAAATAAAATAAAAAAGAAAAGAGTGAGCGAAAAAAAACCGATGCAGAAACGCCAACAACAACAACATCAACAGCACCAACAGCGATGGTCACAGCGAAGAGACAGAACATGAGTAGATGCAATTTGTGTAGCGTTGTTTTTACGTGTTACTTTATTTAAATTGGCATACACGTAATTTTTACGATCCGATTCAGGTAGCGCCCGAAATATGTTGAACACGTTGATTTAAAACTACTATTCAATACAACTTTTTTTTTAACAAATATGAAACGATATCACGTAGATATACTGATGTACAAACTTAGTAATCGATGTAAATCAATTTCATAGAAATATTACTTGAGAAACATTTAAAAGAAAAGGTTAATATTTCAAGACAAAATTGCAACATTTTTCTATATATATTTTTAATTTTAACACGATGCTCAGCTCTCAATTCTCACGGTTCAATCAAGAGAAACAGAAATAAATCACATCTTGTCTCTTTTCATTGCACCACCAATTACAGTCTGTCACAAGAACAAATAGTTAAATTGGAACTTCCTGACTAATTTCATTCAAATTAAGATACATGACGAGTAATTATGATGAAAACCTGAAAAGACACCGAAAGATTGGTCGCGCTCGCGCTCGATCAATGAGTGAC